AAAGGTGCACCTTTTTTGGTAGACCATGGTCTCGAAATCACATCTCCGAAGATTCTTACCGGTCCGTCGTACGCGAACCTTGACGTCAACGTGGTATATATATATATGGTATATATATCACGTGTGCATAACAACAATACGAGATATAATGATCAGAAAAAATCTGAAAACTTCCGACGGTTCTGTTTGAAATTACCTTATGGAGCTCACGTCAGCTTAGTTAAGAACTAACCACGATTACGAGTCCGATTCGGCCGTGGATGCGCTGTGCGTTCGAATCTGTGGCGTCCCCGTACACTTTTGTACGGGTAGGTGGGTGAGAATGTGTTCACGTTCCTAGTGCCGTGTTCATAATGAATAAGGGAAATTTGAAGCAAAGAAAAGGGCCACGGGGGACGAACGAGGCGTTCGCTCTCTCTCCCGAGGACGGCCCCGATTCGGGGAGTTCGACGGAAAACATGCGTCAACATTACGATCGATTCGATATCGAAAATCACCGCGTACACAGATAGACATGTGGGCACGTCGGTGTACGTTTGTGCTCACACACTGGCGTTGCGAAATAGAAAAACGCACGCGCGTCATGCGAACAACACAACACGATAATATCGTAACCGTCGCATTGTTTCCGTCGGTTGTCGAGGATTGGCTAATCATACCACAAACAAGGTCTGAACGAAAAGTTACAGCACCCGGTGGATACGAAATCGAATGACCACCGCGTCTTGAAGTCCGCGATAGCGGTTGGCACTAAAAACAATAATTACGTTCGTCTCGTACAATGCTCGATCATTAATCATCGACGCGCATCGTCGACATTGCAAACGAATAGGAAAAACAATCCGTAGCGTAAATTCCACGCGATGCGTAAACAGTTTACACCGTGGCGCAACATTCGTCACGCTCGTGCGCAACGCACTGCGGTTACGTACCTACTATGCGTTGGCAAAAGAAAAATTTTCGAAAATCTTGAAGCGTTTAATTTTTTTGATTTTAAAACGCATTTCACGCGCGTACGGACACGCGTCTCTTCGCGTCTTAACTTTCGACGGTGTTCGACCGGCAGGTCACGTGTTTGAAAAAATCCACACCGACTGCACTTTCAAATCGATTGTATATGTTGTTTTCGAGTACCGATGAGAATACCGATTTCGTACGAAACATTCCGGTCATCGGTATCTCTTGGCCTTGGCCGTCCTTCAGAATTTCGAAAACTTTGTACGGATTCCTGATAAAACGAAACGACAACGTAAATAATAATGATTGTAATTTTAATCGTTGAGACTCGTTCGATGTTGTGTACAAAGATTAACGACGAACCTAAAGCGGATGAAACTGGACGCTCTTATCAGATCAAAACTTCAAAATATCAAAAGACGTTAAATTATTGGAATTGTTATAACGTTTTAAGAACAACGATTGTTGTACGGGGATTATTAAATAGTAAGAAATATTTTCGACTTATCTGGAGCTTTCTTATTCGCATAGAAAAAAAAAAAAATCTTGAACACTTATCGGTGTCCACGAAACTCTGTGGTCCTACCAAAAAGCCAGTTTAGCTAATAGACCAGGCCGTCAGTCTGTATTCCATCTCTAAGGCGATAATACCTGTCCGGGCGTAATGCACCAAAAGATTATATAATAGATATATTTTTCATATTTTCTACAGGATTCAATAAGCATGCGATATATTTGATTACGTCCGCGTTTTGAATAAACGAAAACCATAATTGTTACGAAATACAATTAACACGTGTGTATTATCCGGTTTTTGTACGTGTATGAATAATAAACGCGAACATAGACGAACACACATCTATAAGTAGGTACATTCTCCCATAGAGCTAAAACATTGTTCTGTTTTTTTTTATTTTTTTGGTTTTCTGTTCGTAGCCGCAACCAGCAGGGTTAAGATTAATACTAGAGTAGAAATAAAAACAGGTAAAAACAAAAATTCGTGAGACAATCGGTCAAATTTTTCCCATGACATGTTAATTATTTCAGAATTATCCGTCGAACATATTATATGCTCAATATGAGGTGTAATTAAAACTGATTTTTGTACACACGCGCACTCACACGTATAATAAGTTCGTAATAATTAGGACAAGGATTTAAATATTTTTAACCGGAGAAAACATTTTTTTCGGTATAATCTATTGAACATACCACGAAACATTATGAACACAGTTTATGTATTTTAACTTCAACGTACGCTAGTTTAGAATTATTTTTAATCCTACCAGCGTGTGATACTAAAACAATTGAACTAAAAGTATAAACGTTATTATTAGTTTTATTTTTGTGTTTTTCGAACATATTGTGATTCGAGTTAGTGTTCGTATTACAGAGTGAACATTATATCGTGACGATGATAATGGTGATGATGTGGTTACCAGTGAAACATTTTCGCCGAGTCAATATACTATTATCATTTAATATTATACATTAAAAATCGAGACGGATTCCGATCGTTTTCGTTTTGAACGAAAGACGTATTTTTATATTTTTTAGTATACATTTCCCCCCTCTCCCCCACACCGTTATACTTGTTGAAGTCCGCTGTTGTTGTGACCTTTACGATTACAACGCTACACACAGTTGACCGATAGAATTCGCATTATCGCGTATAAAAATCACTCATTATCGCGCACCAAAACAAATATTATAGCTTGCAGACCTTCGCGTAAAGCAAATAAATGTACAAGGGCTGTGTTGTACGTGTAAACTACGCGAACTCATACTGTTACTTCCGTTGCGGTGGCTCCTTATTTCAGCCGTCCTGGGAACGTTGATATGATACGGTTCTGTAAAAGATACAAAATATCGTTTTGCAAATATCGCTTTTATCTCGCAAAGCTACTCGTTTACCGAAGTAACGGCTCCGGGTACACCTATGGCCGTTTTAATTATGCAACAGAAATACAAAAAAATAATATATTTAAACGTGTATAAATACAAGGTGAGTTTTTTACGTTAAACGATTATTTTCTCGGTCAAATCGTATGTTTTTGAAAAGAAAAAAAAATCATTTTTATATTGAACTAACTATTGCACAATATTTTTATTTATTTTTTGTTTTTTCCGCAATAATTACTACGTTTTACCGTTTTTACTAATAATACACTTAGAGGTATGAAATTAAAATACATGTTACATTTTTGTCAAAAAAAAAAAAAAAGTAAGACTTTCAAAAAAAAATATAAAATATAAGTATGGTAGGTATATAACATATATAATATTATAATTTGCTTGCGATAATACGATATAATGCACAGTTATGAATTCGATTAAATAACAATTTTTTTTTTTTTTTGTCCAAAACCGCAAACCGTCAGAGTTAACGAGTGTTAATATTATACGTCAAAAAAAATTACCCTGGGTACGGTAATAAAATATTTATAAAAGCTATACATTACCATTATTATAATAAACGGTATTCTAACGAAGAAAATAAAAAACCTAATGTGATTCGGTAATTATATACCTCGTGGGTGATTAAAATTATACGTCTATATTATAACCATTATGATTAGCTATATTATTATAAATATTAAATACAATAGTTACGCTTAATTAAACTTCAAAAACAAAAAAATGCGTAGGTTTAAAAGCATTCGACTTACAATACGCTCGTATATCAAGGAGAGCACTCTTATTCTTTATTTTTTTTTTTAAATTTTTTTTTTTTATTAATCATCAGTCGATTGTAATTACGTAATATCTATAATAATTGAACCTCAAGTGTAATATTATACATTCGAAATCCACCACGTTCTTCTACGGTTATTTTCGTAATACAAATCAAATTTTTACCCGTCAATCTTGTCCATATGTCTTGGTTGAACTTAAGTAACGGCCTATGCGTGTCAACTAAACATACTTTGATTCAGCTTCGAGTATTTTTTTTATATTATATAGTTGGATTCGTAAATAAAGCGGAACAACGTAGAGTTACTTACTTCTTTCGAAAACAATGAACGCTTTCAACACACAAATAATTCGTTTTTTCCCTCTTTTTAAACACGGACAACTCGAAACTTTGACGATCAAATATTTTTATTTTTAATCCACACCACATCGCGCAGTCACTTATTTTATTACACAAAAATATAATAAGCGAATGCAAGAATTCATAACTACGTTACTGACCTGTTTCAGTCGGTTTTTCGAAGCACCAGCATAATACTTTATCGTATATACAGTGTGTCCCTCGAAGATGGTAACACTAATGTGTTAGAGCTTTATTAAAAACGATCGTACACAATCTTCACCCTGTGTTATTATTCCTACCGACACGAACACTGCGTGCAATGCATCTGGTTACCAGAGCATCGTGAGCAAGGACTATGTACAGATGACAAGTGGATGTCATTATATCACGTACGCAAACCATATCATAACCGTTCTTCACTTTTCACGTTAATTACCAATGGTCATAGAGTTCGAATCGAGTAGAAAAAAAAAACTCACTTACGAACAACGATTATGGCATTGAAGGTATTCGGCTTTTTCGTTTTTCAAATGTTAATGATAATAGGCGCAATAACCGATTGCAAAATCTGTACTTACGGCAGGCAGTCCAATATGATTCATAGTTTCTTTGGTGGTAGGACGAAAACATCTTTTGTCCGAGCGCCGGATCAACGGATCATCGACTCATCGGGTGTGAACACTTTATCCTTAACCGTATCGCGCTTTGGCCGGTTCGAGACGTTCGGAAATGTCGACACTGTTAATTATGATTATTACGTTCCGTCGTGATGCAGCCAACGTGCGATGTGCACGCGGTTGAGTAATAACCGTAAAAGCTGTTTTAACAGCAAAATAAAATGTATAAAACTCTGTGAGAAGACACACACGGCTTGACGTAAACACGTTATCATCGTAACGTGTATTATATTACTACTACGTGGTACACAGAATATGAGTAAAAAATGAAAATAAAAATGAAAAAACGATTTCAACATTTTTATTGACGACTCGTGTTTGTAGGTATCACTGCCGATAGATAAATGTAAACAACTAATAATAATATACACATATTTTATATTTGATATCAACGCAACTGTACAAAACTGCAACAACTCAAATAACTATTAACATGATTTATGCATTTCAAATTGATTCGTGCACAGTAGAAAACAAAAAAAAAAAAAAAGACCGTAAAAATAGTGAAAAGTTTAGACACTGCTGTCATCGCCGGAAGAGTGTTCCGGGTTTGGTTTGTTCGTGTCGATGTTCTTCTCCGCGCTAAAAATGCAGTAGTTGTATATTCCACTGGAACGTCGACATTTGAACGAAATCACGGATCCGAAACCGGCACGGAGAGAGCGGCGATGGCGTCCCGGGCTGCTGCAGGACTAATTTGATGTGGTGTTGTGCGTCTGGATGGGAAAAACGAATCAAATAAAATCATTCGAACTCGGAACAACGCGATTGATGTGTGTGTGTGTGTGTGTGTGTGTGTGTCGGTTAAGTTATAGTTTGCGATACAGCAAAACGAGATTTATAACCGTTTTTATGGGAAATATTAACAACCGTGGCGTAAAATCGCAATGGCAATCGTTGTCAGCGCCCTCACGGCTTGGACTAAGTCGATCTAACATCGAAACGGAATAAATCGGTGCGCGATAGCGGCACGAAGTAATAACATCACAATCACACGAGCACGTCGAGCTCAGAGCAAATAGACGGACTGCGTTGTAAACACGGGCGACGTATTTAACATTCACGGCCGACCAACTATCAGTCTGGTCGTCGCGATAGTTTTTAGAACGTTATTAACGTTGACCGTAAACTGTACACGCGTTAAATTCTGGACGCACTTGCGTCGCATTCTTTTTTTTTTTTTTTGTTAGTACTTTATCCTTCGTTACCGGTGGTATTGCGTTGCGGATGGTGAGCAGGAGGGCCATGTCGAACTCATGGAAGCGCACGGCAAAATGATAATTACTGTGAAACGAAAAAATGTTCAACCCTTTGGTCGCGGAAATTCATGCCGACCGCACGCGCGAATAAAACTCCTCGCGAAACGATGCTCTGCACGGTATAATAAATATAGTCATTACGAAGTTAATAGATACAGCGTTTCGTCGGCTTATACTAACCTAACGCGCACGTTGCAATCGACGACGATGGTTGATAGACAATACTGTTTGACGGTAGTGGCATAGCACTAGAACCCTGACTCCACCACAACTCCACCGTAAACGGTGTGTTCTTTTCTTTTGTTCATAATATGACTGGTATTTAACGAGACGCGGGATCCGATAGTAAAATACAATTCTATCGATTGAGTTCGGTGTTGCGACCCGACACATAACGAGAAGGGGTCGCGAGATAAATATTATTAATTAAAAAAAAAAAAAAAAAAAAAAAAAAAAGAGTCCGGTTCGCGATTCGGGTTGTTGATGATGTCAAATTTATGAGGTTCGAGTTACCGCGACCGATGGTGTGTAGTATAAAATGTTTATACACTGTTTATACATTGTAACGTTGATAATTCGTCAACACGCACCTACTCCTCAAGAAAAACACATGTGGATTGCGTAATTTCAATTTTATCATCCTGGTGTAATTCGAGAACAACTGAACGTTTCGAAGCCGTTTTTGTTTTATTATGTGAAAATTAGCTTATAAAGTGTCCGCGATTCGACGGTACGTGCGCTGCGTCCTTAGATCATGACGACGCTTGAAGAGACCGTTACAGCACTACGGTTTACGGTAACGGCTATGATTTATAATATCAATATTATAGACTCGAAAATATTACATTTTTTTTTTTTTTTCAAAAAAACTAAACGTACAATACCTACGCACGTACTGCGCACAAGTATAATAATTATCTGGGTCTTCAAATATTACTACACATCGCGTTGCCAAGACTTGCACGTTTTACGTATAAATATACCTGGGCATGTACACGAAGAGGAAAAAAAATATTGTTGCATTAGCGTTGTGTTCCGTTGCGTAATCGTGTCCGTAACATAGCATCACCGCGGACGAACAGAGTTGGCAATGCTCACGAGACGTGTTTTTTTTTTTTCAAAGATAAAAATCGAAAACCAACGCGAAAACCGACAGCGCGCCAAATCAATATGCACAAACGCTCGCGCGGTGCGCAGTGTCCACCGGCGTAGGGAAGGACATTGTTGTCATCGGCTTCATCACTCATCACGACCTCACCCGGTCGCCTCCGTCACTGTCGTTTCGCAGCCAAGCCATTCTCGTTTTCTCGTCGCGTACGTTTCCTGCGACCATGATTGCTGGTGTGCGCGTGCATTTTTCAACAAAAAAAAAAAAACCCCCCGTAAAAAGTCGTTTTCGTACGGACGCGATAACACGCGCAGTACAGGATCGCGGTGGCGGTTCGGTTTTTCGCGTTTAAAATATTAACTAGGCGCGTTACGCACTAACCGCACGCGTCGCGTTCCGAGGGATGATACCATCGGGGGAGCGGTTATGAAAACGTGCAACGCTATACACTCGTTTTTCCCGAAGAACGCGGTCGCGCACTACCCGTACGATAATAAATCGTGCGCGTTACATTGATTTATAAATGGTAGTTTATTTCTGTTTATTCGTCCGTTTTGCTTTCGTTCCCAGTCGCGGTTGACCGATCGCCGTAAACCGTTACCACGCGCCGACAGCGACTTTTGCGACGGCCCGTACGCTATTGCAGTAGAATTCGGTCCTGTAACCGCCGAGTACCGTAGACGCGACACAAAATCCGACGTCGTCCTCAAAAATCGTGATACGAGCCTGCACGCAACATCTTTTGAAATAGCGCTTTTCACTCGCAATTGTCAATTGCGTGTGGATTGTATCGACGTTCCGAAACGAAAAACAAGATCTGCCCGGTCGGAAATCGGTAGCAAACCAAAACATCGGCGTTTCGAGTTCGAACTGCATTTCGAGAGCATCCGGCATTCGGACGCTCGGGGAACCGTGCGCTTAGCGATGGGACTCCACCACCGATTCGGTCGTTCGTACATTACGCGAAAACGTAAAACGTGTTGCTTTGTCCGTTAAATCGATTGCCGATGGAAAACTTAAGGCCGTGATGTAGCGGACGACGGAATAATGGAACAATGGTTCACGGACGGGGATGATGAAGTTCGGAAATACGGTGTTCATAAAAAAAAAAAAAAAATTGGATTTCAAATATATTACCATGTTAGGTACGTGGCAGTGCAACCGCAGAGTAGGTGCGCGAATGTAGTGTTGTAATATCGTAACGTCGAAACACGTCAATCCGAAATATCCGGCGCGATGATAATAATAATAATAATAATAATAATAATACACCTCGTAACGACGCCGTTAAATACGAGAATGGAGAGATTCGATTGTGTTCGCGAGCTTACACACACACCACGTCCGTTTTGGAGGCGCTCGTGGGCGGAACGACCGTCGCGGCGTTGCGGTGCATTCTAAACACAAGTCCCTCGTCGTCCGCGTCTGTGTACGTGAGCGCGCGTGGTGCGTGTACGTGTGTGAGTGCCCATTGTTTTCCTTTTCGACCGGAGACGACTACGACGACGGAGCCACGTAACCACCGGCATATCCGCCAAAAAAAAAAAAAAAAAAAAAAAAATTAAGAAAAAATAAAATAAAATTCAAAACGTCTATTCCATTGTATGACGACGACTATAATACCGGTGACGCGCGCGCAAAAGGAGAGACCACGTCCGAGGACGAAGAAGTCGACGTGTAAATTTCGCCTCTCCGTTGGCCGCCGCGCACCAACCCCGCCGCGCGCGTGGCACCACGTACCGTACGTGAGCACTGTGCCCGTGACGCGCAACCTCCGACGTGGGATCGGCCCGTCGAGGACGCGCGCGTCCAGGAATGCGCGGCGGCGGCGGATGACCTCGGACGCGGATATCCGGTGACCGAGCCGCGTGAAAAATCGTCGATAATCGCTCACGACGGTACGCGACAAGACGATCGTCCGACCGTTGAAAATTATATCGGACCGATAATTATTGTTCCGTTTGCGATCTTGAGATAACGTTCGATTTGGATATCTGAAAACGGATGCTTACGCTCGCTCGTTGCGCAAGAGGCACCTCCCGGGTGGTTCGACGTTCCATAGGTCTTGATTATTTTTCCGCCGGGCATCGTTTAATCGGACGTTGTGTTTGTTCGTTACGGTGTTCCAAACAATTATATCGACCGCCCGGAAGTTTCAAGTTTTATTGGGTTTGGGAACCCTACGGAGGAACAATCGTAATTCTGTACCCGGATTTAAAACGAATCGTGGCAAAAATCCTGTTCTTAGTTCAACTCGTCTTATCTGTACAACGAACAGCTTATTATTTTTAAAATGCAACGCATTTTATATTCGTCTATTATAGCGAGGACAAAATTAATATATAAATAAATGAATAAAAAACAAGCTATTCTTAATTTTTATTCTTTAACGGGCTTGTTCGTATCGCGTACCACATACATCGGT